TGTTGAGGATGAGCTTAAAAGTCGTGATCAAATTACCAAAATTCTCAAGGAAAATCTCCAAGCTGCTGAAGCTCGCATGAAAAAATACGCTGATCTTCAGCGATCCGACTGTGAATTTGATGTTGGTGATTGGGTATACCTACATATACAGCCATATAGGCAGCATTCCGTGGCCATGAGAAACGATGTGACTAGTTTATACAATATTCCTGCTTTTTTTCCCTTTGATTGTTACAGTGGGATCAGATATCGTAAAAAAAGGCATGCAACTTTTTGGACAAAGTTCGAAAATTTTTGAATAATTGGAACTTTCAAACTGTGAGATCGTTTGTTGTGAAAATTTTCAGATTCGTTTATGTATATAAGAACTTCAACATATTTAAATTTTACGACATTCGAATATCGTTAGTTCGAGATGCCATTACAACTCGTTCAAAATTTTTGTAAAAATAATATTTTTTAAAAAAAAATTGATAATTGATTCCTAAGGTACGAGAACACCCTAAATGGCTCTAATATCAATGTTGGGAATCATATATATATTGCGGAAGCGTAGAATCAAAGACATACCTTGTTCGCTTTAATCTTAAAAATCGTTTGAGGATGTTCCACGTGCTTTAGAATATGAAAATCGTCTTTTCTTCTATTTCTCTAGCAGTATAGTGTTGTTATACAATAGGAATCAACACCAAATTTCCACAGCAAAAGAGCCTTACAACGTTATGTAGGGAAAGAGGGAAATAGAGTAGGAGACTTTAACATTTGATTGTTTGTAAGAGATCTCTCATTTGTTGGATTGTCTTGGGTTTATATAGGCAACTAATATGTGTCATTAAGAAACACATTATAGAGACATGTCTGTTAATATTTAACAGGCAGGTATTTTGGGTGGTAAAGGATACCTTCAAAAGACATGTCCCTTTGAGGCATTCTTTAATTTGGATCGACCCACCATGGGCACCCCGTTTTAGGTCCATGATCCAACCAATATCTAACACTTACAAAATTAATATCAAAATCCTTAAAAAAAAATAAAAAAAATCAACTAACATAAACTTCATTGCATGACTTAAAGAAAACCCACATTTTCTTACTTTCTCATTTTATTGGGGTACCTAATCTTAAAATTTGAGACAATATTTGCCTATTATTTAATAAAATAAGGAAAGGTTTAAAAGCATTACATTTTTATTATTTGTCGATTAGTTCCACTTTAATGACGTTTTTGATTCAAAACACAACAACTAAAATAAATTCTAAACTTAAACATTTTAAATTCAATATAAATTAGTATAATAATTTAAAACCACACAGACAATATATCAATAGAATCTATAATAAAATAACATTACCTCAATCGAAGTAAGAATTAACATATTGTGATGAAGAAAACACGTCACATAACAATTAAAAAGTCTTAAAGGTATGCAATTGAAGTTGACATACCAGAAAAAATGCAAAGTCACATAGCAATTGAAATGACCCAAGAGTGTACCACCGAGTTGACATAAGAACGCAAAATAATGAAAAAAAATTGATAATTAAAAGATGAGAATAAAATTAGAATTCTACATGGTGTCTCATCATGGCATTGGACCAATTTTTCCAATATAGTGCATGTTAACCATTAGTTATTTGTAAAATTTTGGAAACAACAAATTATATTTTTGGTCCTCAAAGTTTACATCACATTTATATTTGACCCTTGAACTATCAATTACAATAACCAAGTCCTTAAACTTCATGCTCTGTTTCAATTAAGTCCTCTTGTTCAAAGCACAAATTTTAAAGAGCCCCAAAAAATTCACCCTAGAGTAGGCCTATTTTTTTATTTTATTTTTTTGATCTTTTGAAAGTCGTATACGAAATTAGACTTAATTGTCAAAAAATATATAGGAATATTTTTTTATAAAAAATCCACTTAAGACATAGAAAGTCTAGAATATCTTTTTATTATAAATAAGTTTCCTAAAAACGATTTTGAAACTAACCCTACATTTAATTATCTTCACATTATCCGGTGTGTTTGTGTGTTTTTCTCTCATGCCTCTTCATCTACTATATATATACTAGTCATTGCCCGTGCCTAAAGGCACTATATAATACATAAAAAAATTACAAATAATTATCCAGCTTGAAAATAAAAATGACCCGAAAAAATTCATACAAATTCTTTTAAAATGACATGAAATATACTGTAGATCATATCTTCTATGGGCCTGTTTGTTTCGAGTATAAGATTTAGGTGGTATAAGATTTTATATTCATTCCATTCCGATCCAATGGTATATTATACCTAGTCTTAAATTATAATCTCATTTTTCCCCTTGTTTGTTTGTCACAAACATTATCTGTGTAATACCTACTTTAAAAAATCAACAATTGCAGCCATGACCTATAAAAAGACAATTGTAACCTTGAAACCTTAAAAAGACAATTGTACATAAAGGCAGTTGGGTCTTTTTACTCTATTATACCTCCATCTTATTTGTACCGGGCATATGATACCACCGGGTAGGTGGTATTCATTAAGACCATCTACAAAGCATTATGACTACTGTTCATAGTGGGTCGGTATTACGACCCGGAAAATAATATTGGCTATAAAATGCTAAACAAACAAGGTATAAGATGGGTCTCACGTACTATTTCTCTAATACCACCTCCTTATACCATTCTAATCCTTGAAACAAACTAGCCCTATATTAATAGACCTATCACAAAAATGTATAAAAAAAACTCTTCAAAACAATATCACATATACAAACACCTTAGAGAAAAAAACAAATACTAATGTAATCTAATAAAATTTATAATTTTGCTTATTTATAAGACGTATGAATTTATCACTGTTGTCACCATTCAACCTTATAACACAACATAATTATAAATACAATCACTAGTTATTTTTTTTATTGGTGACTAGTTTTGCTTTGAATTTTTTTGTTTTTTTTTTTTTGTAATTAGTATCACTTGTTATTTTTTTAGTGGTGATTAGCTTGGTTTTGAATTTTTTTATTTTTCTAGTGCAATTGATTTCATTTTTTATTTTTTATTGGTGATTAGCTTGGTTTTTTCAATTTTTTATTTTTTTGGTGCAATCAGTTTCACTTTTTATTTTTATTTTTATTGGTGATTACTTGGCTTTGAATTTTTTTGTGCAATTGGTTTCACTTTTTCTTTTTATTAGTGATTGGCTTGGCTTTGAATGTCTACAACCTAGGGAATTTTTTTGTAGCATTCAAATATTTTATTGAATTTTTTTGTAACATTCAAATATATATATATATATATATAGAGAGAGAGAGAGAGTGAGAGAGGAGTTCTAATAAAACAAAAATCTAAAGTTTAGGAAATTTAAAACTCATAATAAATCCTCTCCAATTTTTTAGGGATGTGTTTTTTCGAAAACTTTTGAAATTTAACAACATAATGTTAAGAAATTTTAATTATCTTATCTTACAAAGTTCTAAAATTAAAGAATTTTGGTCACACATAAACATATATGACTCATTTGGTAGACGTATTATGAGAGGATTAAATATTAGATTATATTATTTTTTATTTAATCGGGCATAATATTTTATTTTGTAAACAAATTTGATACCGTATTAATTTCAAAAATGTATAATAATCGTATACTTATCGTATATTTTTTATACGATATACATGTATTATTAAGGTTTTTTAATACCACCAAGAAAGGTGATATTATAATCCAACTCAAACGTATTATTTTACACATTTAATATTATAACCCCCAAGTGATAAAATCAAATTGTCATCAATGTAACAAACACTGATTGAGGGTATCTTTGTTAATTCAACATTAATACGATGAAATAATTCTCTAACCAAACAACCGATTGGATTAAATAATTATTATCCATGCTTATATTGTGTATTACCAAACACTAGATAAAATTACGTATTATTCTAATAACATATTGATATTGTCTTTAATTCATATGTATTGTATTAAGCTATATTACTTTATCTAATTCATCCATTTTTAAAACGACAACCAAACGAGTCCATAATATACATATAATACTACAAAGTCACACTATGAAGGTTAGTTTTTATTACTCGTACACTATTTTGATATACTATATTGATGCAGTTTAAAGGGTTTATGAAATTAAAGTGTATCAAAACAATGTACGAGTAATAAAATTTAGGGTTTAAGAATTTCACAAATTTAAAGTGCATCAATACATTATATCATAACAGTGGAGAATAATAAAAATTAAGTTTCATAGTGTGACTTCGTAATATTATGTGTGTGTGTGTGTATATATATATATACACACACTAGTCATATTCAGGCACAATGGAACATAAAATTTGAGTGTTCAAAAAATTTATTACATTATATTAAATCTTTTAGAGAATTACACTCAAACCCCTAAGGTTTATATATTTCAAATGTCAAAGAGTCTGGATGTAATTTGATAGTTGACACATCATTATGTCAACAAAGAGTATGATATTTAGACCTAAAAATTTGACATAATTTGTTAATTTAATGATGTGATTTTATTATAACCTTGAATTAACATCAAATTTTAATGTTAGATAAACCTGATAATCAATCCAATTACTATATTGAATAAGATCAGTCACAATAACATTGTACATCAATTTTTTAGGTCTCCATATTAATACTCTCCAAACAAAGAAAAAAAAATGAAAGAGTCTCAAACCAGTCTTTTCGTGAACATTCCAGAATTACAGGGTTCTTTAATCCCCACACCTATCAGCTGCCTCTCTAGAAACTCGTAGATCTCTCTCTCTCTCTCTCTCTCTCTCTCTCTCTCTCTCTCTCTCCCGCCTATAGGCTACAACACCAGAACCATCCAGAAATCATCATTTCCCTCTCTCTCTCTCCTCCTTCATCCATAGGCTACAACACCAGAAGCATCCAGAAAACACCATCTCTCTTTCCACTCTCCCCTATATAACCCCCACCACCCCCCTACGTTGCTCAACAGAGAAAAGCAGCACACAAACAACCTTACAACCTTTGTACACAGACACAACCATTCATCAACATCATCTCTTTATACCACTTCTCCCAGCAATTTCCATTAAACCTTCTTCTCATTCATCTTCACCCAAAAATAAAAAAAAGTTCATCACATAAAATGGGTAAAGCAAGATTCACCATGCTCTTCCTTGCAACGGCAATAGCTGCAGCTCTTATACCCCTCCAAACCACTGCACTGACACCATACACACGAAGCATCTGGGACATGATCCTCCCACCCGATGACCCATTTCGAATACTCGAACAAAACCCATTAACCAGCTCAAAAGACATGGAACCATTGGCCCTCGCCCGAGCAGATTGGAAAGAAACACCAACATCACATATAATATCACTGGACGTTCCGGGATGAAGAAAGAAGATTTGAAGATCGAGGTTGATGAGAACAGGGTGTTGAGGGTGAGTGGAGAGAGAAAGGGGGAGGAGGAGGTTGAGGGTGAGAAGTGGCACAGGGTTGAGAGAACTGTTGGGAGGTTTTGGAGGCAATTCAGGTTGCCTAGGAATACAGATTTGGAGAATATCAAGGCTCATTTTGAGAATGGTGTGCTGAGGATTACTGTGCTCAAGTTAGCTGAGGAGAAGAAGAAGACAACTAAGGTGATTAGCATTGCTGATGAAGGGAATGGTGGTGAGGATATTAAGGCTACAAAGGCTGAGATGTAGAAGAAACGGTTTATCTTTGTGTTTTGATCTTGCAAATTATAGCAATGTGATGTGGGTTTGTGTTAATTTTGTGTTTTGATCTTGCAAATTATAGCAATGTGATGTGGGTTTGTGTTAATTTTAAGCTCTGATACAAATAAAGTGAGGTAATGGTTGATATGATTATATGACTATGTGGTGTATTGAGGTGGCAGTTATGTTCGTGTAATTTTTTCTTTTTAATAAAAAAAATATTTTAATCTTTTGACATATTTTAGAACAATAAACTTTGTAACTTAAAGATTCAAAATTTAAATATAATTAAAATTGAAATTCAATGAAATTTTTTGATGAAACACAAAATGCGTTTATATATTATTTAATTTAATGTAGTAATTAAGAAAAAGACTTTATACAAATAAATACAAATTAAATGGTTTAGTTAGGGTGATTAATTTCACTACGAAAGGTTACATTTGTTCAGATATAAGTGATTATGCCTTTTTGTGTGGGTGGAGTTTATAATTTATAGATATATTTTAACAGATTGAGACGATGTTTTCGTATCAGATAAAATAATTCAATGGAAATAGTATCATTTTTGTAATAGACAAAGGAGTTACATGAAGGTGGTGACATGTGCCCGTTGATTACGTCTCTTGGAAATTTTTTTGTGTGTCAGTTGTGGACCGAATCCATAAAAATAATAAGATTAACTCAATTTAATTTCTTTGACCCTGCGGTGGACTTGACTTTTATTTTTGAGGTGGACATGGTTTGCAATTTTAAACTGGCGTGGTTTGAAATTCGGACTATCAGATTTAAAAACTTAATTTTATTCTAACATCAATCACCTATGATAGGACCATTTCATAATGTAAGGGTAAAAGATGGAAATGATATTTTAATCAATGTGTTTATTTATAATAGAATAATAAGTGAAAGATAATTTTATGAAATAAGATTAATTTAGTACTATATCAATCTCAATCATTGATTTTGAATTGGATAATTTACAATTATTAATTAAAAAAATGAAAATCAATAAAATTGTATATGTGGCGTGTTTTTGGAATAGATTTAAATGCTTCCATTGAATGTATTAACTCATATATTTATAGATTTGACTCTGCTTAAATAAAAATCTATTGCAAATTGTAATTCACCTCTAAAAGGGCAATTGTTTACATATTAACTTAAAAGGAAAATTTTGGTCGTGCCATTTTTAGTTTGTTATATTTTCAAAAGCATCCTCTTTATTTTATGAATCTTCATTGATATTTCTGTTAGATTAAAGATGTTAATTATCTGTAATATATTTTAGAAAAAAAATTATTCACACCCCTCTAAATAAACATATATTTAATGAGACTCTCTTTATTTTTTAAACTACTATACGTATTAAAATTAAACCAATTAAAATATAATTTTAGTTAATTAAAATTCTTTTTTTAAGTATTAAAATTTGAGTCAATTAAAATTTATATTTTTTTATTTATTAAAATTTGAACTGATTAAAATTCTATTCAAGTTGATTAAAATTTATTTTTATTCGGCTTGAATCAAATTTTAATTAATTTTCATTGAATTTTAATCGACACAAATTTTGATACATAAAAAATATAAATTTTAATGCGCAAAAAATAAATTTTAATCAACTTAAATTGAATTTTAATTAGCATGAATTTTAATAAATAAAAATGTATAAATTTTAATCAACTCGAAACGAATTTTAATTGACGTTAACAATTCATATAGAGCTAAAATCGGCTCAGATTTTAATATGTAAACAAATAAAATTTAATCAATTTGAATTGAATTTTAATTAACTCAAATTTAAATATGAAAAAAATAAATTTTAATTAACTCAAATTTCAATATAATTTTATGTAGAAATATTTTTTGGGGTTTATGTACGAGTAATTTTGGTATTTTAGTTGATTTTTTTAGAAACAGTGGTTTAATGACATAAGTTGTTAGTGATTTTTAAATATAAAATAGAAAGAGTGTCTTTAAAAGTATTAAATTATTGGGTTAATTTGTACTCCGAAAGATTGTTCGAATCTCAATTTGCACCCTCAAAAATAAAAAATTTCAATTTACACCCTCAAAGATAGAAATTTGTATCAATGTGCACCCCTAAAGATCAAAAATCTCAATTTGCACCCTCAAATATAGAAATTTATATCAATGTGTACCCCAAAGATAAAAAATCTCAATTTACACCCTTAAAAATAAAAATTTGTATCAATGTGCACCTAAAACTAAATTGATAAATTATACCTAAATCCCCTCATATTTGTTAGTTAATCATTTAGACCTCTTCACATTTAGAATATTACTCCTACATCTTATGACATTTGTGCACGTATAACACATAACCCATTTTCATTGATATTTATTAATATAACCGTTAAAAAATATAATTTTATCCTAATAAAAAATTATAATTTCATATTACCCTTTATTTTATAGGTTCAATATACTCTAAAATTCAAAATCTAGTTTACCATTTGAATGTCTAATAAAATATAAATATTTATATAATGTTTTTCATATTACCTTTTATATAAATATCTACATTTTATTAGACATTCAAATGGTAAGCTTGATTTTCAATTTTAGAGTATATTGAATCCACAAAATAAAAGGTAATATGAAATTATAATTTTATATTAGGATAAAATCATATTTTTTAACGTTTATATTAATAGATATCAACGAAAAGTGGTTATGTGTTACACATGCACAAATGTCATGAGATATAAGGGGAATATTCTAAATTTGAAGGAGTTCAAATGATTAAGTGAAAAACATGAGGGGATCTAGGTATAATTTATTAATTTAATTTTATGTGCACATTGATACAAATTTCTATCTTTGAAGGTGCAAATTAAGATTTTTTATCTTTGAGGATGTACATTGATACAAATTTCTATCTTTGAGGGTGCAAATTGAGATTTTTGATCTTTGGAGGTGCACATTGATACAAATTTCTATCTTTGAGGGTGTAAATTGATATTTTTGATCTTTGAGGGGATAAATTAAAATTCGAACAATCTTTTAGGGTACAAAATGAAATTAACCCTAAATTATTTCAGCTCCCGCAAACTATACTTGGCAGAACATAACGAAGTCAACGACTGCCGAATAAAGAATCAGACCAAATCGAAAATCAACGATAGCAAAACAAACAATGAGCACGGTAATGTTTTCAAGTTTTGTATGAAATTTTTTGTTGAGTTATACGAAATCGGGCGTACTATTTTGATGAATTTGTGTTGAGTTGTATGAAATTTGGTTGGTTTTGTGTTGAATTCTTGTGTTGAACTTTTATTGAGTTTGGCCATTGTGGTTGGGCAGTGGGTTGTGGTGTTTGCGCTGGGGAAGACATTTTGGCCGTGCGGGGGCAGTGGTGGTTCTGCGGTGGGTAGTGGTGGTGGTGGAATATGAAGAAAAAGAAAAAGAAAAATCAACCGAAAGTGTGAGATAGAGTCGAGATAATAAAATTGTTTTTGTAGGAATCGATAACGATGTTAGTTGTTCATATTGATAGTGATTTTAGGATTATTTTCAAAAAATAGAGACTAGCAAAAATGGAATTCTATCCACTTGTGGATAATTTTACATACATTTAATCTTATCCAGACCCGCAGTAATGAGAGCGTCGCGCACTGAGCTGCCATTGTTTTACCTGCCTATGTGGGATTCACCCTATAACACCATATACCAATCAAATGTCAAATATTTTGGGATACATTTCAAAAAGTGTCAAGTATGTTGGGACATTGATAGAGAATCCATCGCTTTTCCACTTATGAGAAATGTTTTCAATTGTAATTATCATAACAAAAGGTCCAGCTAGAGAGAGTCTGAGAACACATATAATGTGAGTGTGTGTGTGTGTCTTTGTGTGTGAATGCATATATTATGTATACATTGCCTCACATATATAACTTTCTTTTGTACTCAAGTGGAAGAATGCTTTGCTTGGTCCACTTTGATGGCTACATGTGCTTTGGTTTCAGCATCATTGACTAACCATGAAGCCACCTTCTATGGAAATATTTTCATTGCTGAATTTATATTTGTATATTGGAAGGCGTTGACTATTATTATGCCACTCTTTTGATATGAATCTGGTGCCTTGTCAGACTGCATAGTTCCTCACTCAACCATCTCCAATTGCTGTTCTCAATGGATGCTACAAGAGCCCAAGAAGCCTTGTCCTCTACTTCTCGGTGTACTTATCATGTGTTCTTGAGTTTCAGAGGTGAAGACACCCGCAAGACCTTTACTGACCACCTTTACACAGCTTTGTTGCAAGCAGGATTTCATACATTCAGAGATGACGATGAAATCGAGAGAGGACATAATATTGAGTCAGAATTGCAAAAGGCACTGCAGCAGTCGAAGATCTCAATAATTGTCTTCTCGAAAGGTTATGCCTTTTCAAGATGGTGCCTTGATGAACTTGTGCAGATCCTCGAACACAAGAGGAATTGTCCACATGTTGTGGTTCTCCCAATTTTCTATGATGTTTTTCCTTCCCAAGTCAGGAAGCAAGCAGATAGCTTCGCAGAAGCGTTTGCTTCACATGAAGAGCAATTTAAGGAGGAAAACACCAAAGGGGAAAAGCAATGGACGGACAAGGTGGAAGGGTGGAAGGCAGCACTCAGAGAAGCTGCAGACTTGGCAGGGATGGTCTTACAAAATCAAGCTGATGGGTAACTTTCTAGCTAGATGATCAATTTGAAAATCTTCTTATCTTTTCTCAGTTCAACAACTACAATTACTTTTGCTTGACTTACAATTGAATTCATTCTTTGGTAGTCCTTGGTTTTAAATTAATCATTTCGATGGCTGATAAATCATTAATTCCTAGCAAATACCCATAGCTGTGGAAAAATATCCATCAATACTCTGATTACCCTGCTGAAGAATTCATGACAGGCCAGTTTACTTCAATCTAAAACAAAACAAAAGCTAAGATGTTTCCCAATGGCAAGGGACCTTCCTTCCCTTGCATACTTGGCACAGGATCCAGCCACACCCCCATATTTTTAGAAATATTTAAACTCCAATCAGTTTGTAGTTGGTAATTGTAGAAACTACATAAATTTTCTTCCTAAATAGAGAACTCAGCTAGTTCCAAAAATGAATAATTACAATTTGGTGAACAAAATGAGAACATTTGAGTTTGGAGAACTTTACATAACGTGAATTTTAATTTGGCTTACAAGACATAGATCAGGCTATAAATGTATGTAGAATAGATGCAAAGTGATGAATTTTTGCAGAGTGTAGATGCTATTAAGATTGTAAAACATGATAAACCGTTGGCTTGGTATGATATGGCCTATTGAAATAGGTAGAAGTAGTTTCTTTCTTTTCATTTATCCCCATTTCTTGGGCGTTTGTGAATGATTCATGTCCATTTGACATATATCATTTGTTCAAGTTTATATTCATGAACATTTTTTGTGCGATGTTTTCTAGTTCATTCTATTTGTTGTTTGATGACAACTCAAAACATTCTTGTTGTGCTTTATTTTCCATAGGCACGAGTCAAAATTCATCCAACAAATTGTTCAAGAGATTGGGAATAAACTAAATCAGACTCTCTTGAGTGTTGCTCCCTACATAATAGGGTTAGAATCACGTGTAAGAGAAATTAATTCATGGCTACATGATGGGTCAAGTGATGTACGAAAAGTCGTGATATATGGAATCGGTGGCATAGGGAAGACAACCCTAGCCAAAACTGTTTATAACCTCAATTTTGAGAACTTTGAAGCCAAAAGCTTTCTTGCCAATGTTAGAGAAATTTCTGCACAACCAAATGGTTTCCTTCGTTTACAAAAGCAACTTATTTCAGATATTCTGAAAGGGAGAAAGGAAAAAATATACAACATTGATGAAGGAATTTTTACAATTGAAGAAGCTACATGCTGTAAAAGAGTCCTTCTTGTTCTTGATGATGTCGATCATGAGGATCAACTACGCAATATACTTGGATGGCGGCAATGGTTTCGTCGTGGAAGTAAGATTATCATAACTTCTAGACATGAGCAACTACTGAAGTCTACGAACAGGTGTAAAATGTTTGAGGTTAAGAAATTGGATGGTGATGAGTCACTTCAGCTGTTCAGTTGGCATGCGTTTGGACAAAGCCATCCTATAAAAGAATACAAGGAGCTCTTGAAGCGAGTCCTGCACCATTGTGGAGGCCTTCCGTTAGCTCTTCAAATTGTGGGTTCATCTCTGTTCGGAAAAAGTGTAGAAACATGGAAAAGTGCTTTAGAGAAATTGGAAGCAATTCCTGATAGTCAAATCCAAAAAGTACTCAAAATAAGCTTTGACTCCCTGTCAGATGATCATGACAAAAATCTATTCCTTGATATTGCATGTTTCTTTATTGGGAAGGGCAGAGACGATACAGTGAAAATTTTGGACGAATGTGGTTTTTACACAACAATTGGAATCCAAAATCTTATTGGTAGATGCCTTGTAACTATCAGTAATGATGACAAGCTGATGATGCATCAATTGCTTCGAGACATGGGAAGGGAAATCATTCGCCAAGAATCGCCTAAAGAGCCTGGAAAGCGCAGTAGACTATGGTGTCATAAGGATTCATTTGATGTATTAAGAGAAGTAGCTGTAAGAATCATACGCCCCTCGTATATTGGTGTGTTTTAGAAAGAATGCTTTCTTTACCTATTCGATTTTTTTTGTTTTCAGGGAACCGAAACAGTTGAAGGCCTAATCCTAGACTTGCATGAGTTGCGTGGTGATAAGCTTGCTGATGCAATGTCTGGTGTGCATAATGCAGACCATCACAACACTGAACAATTTCTTGACACATATATAACTCCTTCGCATCACAAGTCATCAATCAGACGCTCTCTTTGGAACTGTTGGAACTCCATAAGAGCTGCCTTTTCAAGATATGATGCTGTTTCAAATGAGCTACACCTGAATACTGATGCTTTCGCAAGGATGCATAAGCTAAGATTACTCCAGCTCAATTATGTACAACTCATTGGAGGATATGAAAAACTTCCAAACGCATTAAGATCGTTGTCTTGGCATGGTTTCCCCTCAAAAACCATACCAAGCAATTTTCATCTGGAGAAGCTAGTTGCTCTTGACATGCGCAATAGCAGCTTGGAACAAATTTGGAAGGGAACAAGAGTACGATGCTAACATTTTTAATTATTATTTTTAGATTTCTAGGAACTAAAACACTATCTTTTCAATTTTTACTGCAGCTGCTCAAGTGTTTGAAAATCCTTGATCTCAGTCATTCCCATTTGCTCAACAAAACACCCAACTTCTCTGGACTCCCTAATCTTGAGAGAATGATGCTTAAAGATTGCATAAGTTTGATTGAAGTTCATGAATCCATTGGACACCTAAAGAGACTTGTTTTCTTGAATCTAAAAGGCTGCAAGAATCTTAGGAAGCTACCAAGAGAAATGAATATGCTCAAATCTCTTGAAAAACTTGTACTCTCTGGTTGCTCAAAACTTGAGGAAATGCCGGAGTTGGTGAAAATGGAATCCTTGACAGTGTTTCATGCAGATGGAACAGCTATATATCCAGTGTTCTCTAATGATAGAGAGGGTGCTTCATGGGATAACCTCTACTGGAATCCGACATCACGAAGAAAAACTCGCATTGATTTTGCGTTGGTTTCATTGCCTAGCACGCTTGTAAGCTTAAGCCTTGCAAACTGCAACCTATCAAATGAAGCTATTCCCACTAATCTTAGTGTTCTATTCTCATTGCAAGACTTAAATCTAAGTGGAAATCCTATTAGTGGCCTACCAGAGAGCATCAAAGGTCTTACTAAGCTCCAGTCCTTGCAGTTGGACTGTTGCACAAATCTGCAATCACTTCCCCAGCTCCCTATAAGCTTGAAGGATTTGCTTGCAAAAGACTGTACTTCTCTGGAAAGAATAGAAAATCTTCCGAATCTGTTACAATCACTGCACCTGGAGATTTTTGGCTGTGAGAAACTAGTTGAGGTCAAAGGTTTATTCAAGTTAGAACCCATAAAAGATGTTGACACTGAAATGATTAATGACGTGGGCTTGCTCAATTTGGATTCCACCAGAAGCATTGCTGTCAAATTGGCCAGTAATATGACATACACAGAAAGGAATATTCCTCTTCAGGTACTCTCTCTCTCTCTCTCTCTCTCTCTCTCTATATATATATATATATATATAAAATTAAATATTTGACAAATTCATGATTGCAATGGCATAGGGGTTGTATGAATGTGGTGTATTCAGCATCTTTCTTCCTGGAAGCATGGTTCCAGATTGGTTCAGCTATAAAAGTGTGAAGTCTTCAATTTCTTTTGACGTACCTCAACATCTTAGTCACAAGATCCGAGGCCTGAATATATGCATTATGTATGAGATAAGCGCTTTCTGTTGTCATGGGTTTGGTGATGTACACTTTGTCCATATCACTAACAAAACCCAGGGTCTGAAATGGACCTACTGCCCAACATTCTATGGCATCCCTGGAGTGGATGAACATATGCTATGGTTAAGTCATATGAAGTGTGGAAATCAGTTTCAAGGTGGTGATGAAGTTTCAGTTTCAGTGGTTATGGCAAGCGATTTTTGGGTGAAGCAATGTGGAATCCAACTGGTGTACGAAAAAGAAGAGCAGGAGCTTCAGTCAGATTATCAAGGTAAAATTCTGGGAAACTACCCTTCCCATCAAAACAGCATTGATGAAGGTATGTCAAAGCCTGAGAACAGGGTAGGGGCGCATCTTCTATGCCATCACAGGTTCATAAGTCATCGTAAAAATTTAAGGGGTGGTAGTACTTTGAGTGGTTTTGACATCTGTTTTATGGCTTCTGCAAATTGTTGGCCTGTGATCGGTGTTTCTAGACCCCGCTTAGATTCTGTATGGTCTCCAAAGCTTGCCAATGAAGAAAATGAAATAACAGGACAAGCGCTAATCAGGAATTCTAAACCATCCTTGACATTCATTGCAGACCATGACGATGATCCTTTGAGTCATGCATCCAGCGAAGCCTCAGACGGTCCCTTGGACTAGTTGTTGTCAATTCCATTATATGTATTGTAAAGCTGCACAAGTGAATGCTCTATAATTAAAGATGAATGAATATGGTCACTCAGCCTGCCTCTGTTACTCTGTGAGCCAGAGTTTTCCGGAGAGCAATATAATTAGACCTAATTTGTTGATTTGGGTTCTATCAAATATTGAAATTTGATGTTAATCCAAGATTTTCAATAAAGCCACGTCATTAAATTAATAAATTATGTCAATTTTTTAAATTTAAATAGTATTAGTCTTCTCGGAAGGAAAACATGTTTTCGACCACAATTTTCAAGAACTTCAACTAAACCGACCCTAAATCTCTTCTTTTAGGTATTCTGGTGCCTCGTTTTGGGAGACAAATCAATTTTTTGGTCAGAAGCTTCGTCTATCCTAGGTGAATAAGATCACGTCATTGATGGATATGGAACAAGGAAGACTACCACCACCTTGTCATTTCTCAACCGGACAATGGGGAAAACGGTGACAGTACTGATAATGAGGCATCTGCCAAAAACATACATCTTTGACCTCTAAGTCAATGTTAAAAAGATTTATTCACTTCCCTAATTCCAAATCCATTCCTCAACGCCTCCCCCATTGAAGTTCATCATGAACATGCATGAAACAATAGCAATTCTTGATTGATATTGACCATACAACATGCCATCAACTTTAAAATGATATTACCCGCTAACAAGATTAATAATTGAGTTGGATTTATATGAATAACTCGATTTTGACACGTCAAACTTATTTTATAATAGTATGGAAAAATGTGATTATATTATACCTTGATCTAGTATTATACATTTAGCCGACGAAATAAATATTTTTTTAGTATCCAAATACAACTACTTATTGAAAAAAAAAAATTATTTAAAATCTTGAAATTTATCACTTAATCACTTACACTCCTTGACATTTAAAATATTATACACAAACCTCCTTAAATTTGTATATGCATAATACTTAGATCCTGTCGTCAATGTGCATCAGTATATCTATTAGTAAATTACATCTAGACTCCCTAAAGTTTATAAGCATGAAACACTTATACTCTCAAGTTTAAAACATTACACTTAGACCCATTATTAGTTACGGAACTAACAGAATCTATTAAACGAACAAATTACCCTAATTAAAGACAAAATATATTGTGTCAATTACAATGTGATCCCTTATTTGATTTTTTTGTTTTATTCCAATAACTATAATTGTATGTAAATGAGTGTTTAATTGAGTTCTTTGATACATTTATACTAATTACTCTTTTTTTCAAAAAATTGGGATTTTGTTTAGCTTTTATGTTAATAGATAATAAAATGGAACATGCAAATGTGTTGATTAGGCTTATTTTATATGTTATTACTTGATGATGAAAAAATTGATCCAAGGTGAAAAGTCTATTTAATCCAAGATGCTCCAGGTATACCATTTCTAACTTCTAAATGCAATTCATACTTTGAGTCACTTACTAACTTAGGTGTCGAAGAGTCAACCCCCAAAGCTCCCCTCTGATCTCCAACTTCCTTTTCAGGAGATCAAAGTCCAATAATTTGACATAAAAGTTATTCAAATTTTGGTATCAACAGTACTAATTATAATTTTTTAAAAAAATTTAAATTTAAATTTTTAATTTTATTTCAATAAATAATATAATATAAAATGATTTTTGGTTATAAAATTTAAAATATTTAATATGTTATCTTTAATTTGAATATTTTTTGTCAAAGTGTAATATTTTAAATTTGAGGGATCCGGATATAATTTACTAACAATGTACTAATGGACATTAATGACACGAAATTTGTGTGTAATATTTTAAATGTCAAGGAATTTAGGTCAATGATGCACAAAATTAATTGTGCACAATCAAGTTAGTCAAGTGTGTGTTGTAGAGCAATTAATAAAACAATTAATAATAAGAGACAAATATTGGACGGTTGGGTATAGTTGACCTAACCAATTAAGGCAACAACGATGATTAGAGAAATCTATTAATGAGAGAATACCAAGTAGCAAAAAAGAGCGAAAAGGAGAGTAATAGTACATTCAATGTGCAATATGTGTTCTCCCCCATGTATAGGAGATTTACAATTTATAAGTGCAAAGTCCTAGTTGAGATGGTGACGTAAGGATCAAGCTACTAATTTTATAAGAAAAAATTACTACAGTTAGATATTGAGACTACCCTGAAAATAATGGTTATCCAAATGATTGTTCTTATCTTGACTCTTCTTGGACTCTTAAGCTTTGAATTAAATTGATGTCATAAGTTAAGTCTGATCTGCCTTTTGATAATTTGGACTTAATCTACGAAATGGACCCAAGCTTAGTTTAGATTTAAGCTCGTCAGAGGTTATTAAATGACAAAAAGTCTAGATGTATTTTTCCCTATTAACAATACTAATAGACGATGACACAAATTATCCGAACATCACTATGACTGAAAGGGTCACTTTTCAATAAAGTATTAGGAAAGTATTAGGAATAGTTTGTGTCTGAAAGTACGGTACAATATAAGTAAAAAGTGATAAATTTTAAAAAAGAGAGAAATTCAATATAAATAATTTTGAACGAGATGTTGGTGCCGATAAATGAATTTACTTGAGACTGTTAGATAAATTTATTAAAACTTGTTCTGTTTTATATTATAAAAATTTTCACTTACTTCCACAAAAAAGGCACACATTAAAACTCATTTAGTCAGATTATAGAAAAATTAAATTATTTGATATCGAGCATATTATTTAATGATAATTTCAATTCTTTTAATCATAACTTAATCCCATAAAATTTAGATAATCTTATAGAGTTATATCCTAACTTTATAACTACCAAACAAGCAACTCGTATATTATTATAGATTTCATCGAGTTCGAAAAAAAAAGTAGTCAAGATAAGGAACGTAAACGCCAACCAAATATACAATCACACCCAATGGAAAATGGCTGAAAGCTAGACAAACAGTGAGCACGGTAAGTTTTCAAGTTTGGACTGTTGGGTTGTGTGAGATTTTTGTTTAGTTGTACGATTTTGGATAATCTTGTTTGAATTTGAGTTGAGATGCATGGAATTGGGTAGAATTTTTGTGTTGAATCTTGGTTGAATTGTTTTTGAGTATGGCCACTGTGGTTAGGCAGTGGTTGTGGCGTTTGGGCAAGGAGAGAGATTTTGGCCATGCGGTGCATTGGGTAGTGGTGGAGGTGGGTGGTGTTTGTTATCAACCCAACCATTATTCCAAAAGCTCCAGGAGTAATGGGGGTTATAACTCATAACTATTAACTTACCATTCCACTCTCTGTCTTCCAGTATTCAATGCCATAACACTATGCCTATATATAATATTAAGACCTTTTAATCCAGCTTATAAATTGTCCTTTCTGCCGTGACTCAGAACTCATGATGTGGTGCATTCTAATTATTATGAACCCAATTGTTGTTTCAAAATCCCCGGGACTTATGAGAAGTTAGAGCTCATAATTATTTGAACATACCGGTGTTGGCGGTGGTTGGGCAGTGGGTGGTGGTGAAAGAAATAATGAAGTATGAGATGGACAACGGGGATAATGATTACTTCACTCATTAACGATGTTAGTTGTTCATATCGATCCAAAATCACTTGTTATATGATTTTATTTGCACCAACGGGCTTTCATCTAATGGTAATCCTTATTTTGGGAAAGTTTTATTTTCTTGGGTCAAGGGTTCAAGTCTTCCTCTCCTCCCCAAATATATATATATATATATATATATATATATATATATATATGATTTTATTTGAGCAATAGAGACTACAAATGTCAAGTTATTGGGAGGTCAACTATAAGCTTCTGGAAGGGAAAGGACATTAACGTCTGGGGGCAATACCAAAGTTTTTCTTGGACTAGTTTTTGTCAGCTATAGGAACATTGATCCAGAATTCATTGCTTTCCCACTTATGAGAAATGTTTTCATTTGTTATTATCATAAAAAAAAGGTCCAGCTAGAGAGAGGCTGGGAACACATATAATGTGTGTGAATGTGTCTTTGTGTGTGAATGCATATATTATATATACATTGCCCACATATGTAAGTATATATCTTTCTTTTGTACTTAATTTGAAGAATGCTTTGCTTGGTCCACTTTGATGGCTACATGTGCTTGGTTTCAGCATCATTGAATAACCATGAAGCCACCTTCTATGGAAATATTTGCCTTGCTGTATTTATATCTGTATATTGGAAGGCGTTGACTATTACTATGCCACTGTTTTGATATGAATCTGGTGCCTTGTCAGATTGCATAGTTCCTCACTCATTCATCTCCTATAGCTGTTCTCAATGGATGCTGCAAGAGCCCAAGAAGCCTTGTTCTCTACTTCTCAGTGTACTTATCATGTGTTCTTGAGTTTTAGAGGCAAAGACACCCGCAAAAACTTTACCGACCACCTTTACACAGCTTTAAGGCAAGCAGGATATCACACATTCAGAGACGACAATGAATTCGAGAGAGGACATAATATCGAGTCAGAATTGCATAAGGCACTCAAACAGTCGAAGATCTCTATAATTGTGTTCTCCAAAGGCTATGCCTTTTCAAGATGGTGCCTCGATGAACTCGTGAAAATCCTCAAACACAAGAGGACCTCTCCACAAGCTGTAATTCTTCCAGTTTTCTATAATGTTGTTCCATCCCAAGTCAGGAAGCAAGCAGATAGCTTCGCAGAAGCGTTTGCTGCACATGAAGAGCAATTTGAGGGGGAGAACGCTGAGAGGAGAAAGGAATGGACGGAAAAGGTGGAAGGGTGGAGGGCAGCTCTCAGAGAAGCTGCAGACTTGGCAGGGATGGTCTTACAAAATCAAGCTGATGGGTAATTTTCTAGCTAGGTGATCAATGTGAAAATCTTCTCTTTTATCTGGTCAACGACTGCAATACAATTTGCTTGACCATACCATTGACTTCATTTCTTTGGTAATCCAAAGTCCGAATTGATCTCTATGGCTGATACATCTTCAATTCTTTACAAGAACCCATAATTGTGGAAAAATATCCACCTCTCCTGCTCAAGACTTATGGCAGGCCAGTTTACTTCAATCTAAAACAGAATCAAAGTTATGATGTTTCCCAATGGCAAGGGAACTTCCCTCTCTTGCATAGTTGGCCCAA